CCTAACGGGGCACGCGTAGAAGACTTGTTACGCTGGCAGACCTTGCAACTGCGAACATACTCTACGCAGTCATTCTTCATCCCAGGCCAGGTATACGCGCGGATCAGATTGGCTAAGGTCTTTTGCCAACCAAAATGACCCTCTGTGTCGTGGCATTCTCCCAGGATCAGACAGCGGATCTCTTCGCTATTGGGGATGCACAATCGGTCAAAAACATTAGTCTTCTCAAAAAGCAACCCTTCAGTAGTGCGGTAGTTCGGCTCGGTCTCTGGGGTCTCCTTGACTTTCTTAAGGAGCTCACCATAGATAGGGTCCTGCGCGTAGGCTTCTCTAACCAGCTGCTGCAGATCCTTTCCTATATCGAGGTAATGTACTATTGCCCCCAAATAATCAGCTCTTCTACTCAGAGCATCCGCGACTACGTCGTACTTCCCTTTGACAGGCTTGAGCTCAAAGTCGTACTGATCTATCTCGGCGGCCCACCTAGTAAGCTTAGGTGTCATCTTGGCCTGCGTCTTTAACCATCGTAACGTTTCATGGTCAGAATAGACTTTRAAGTGCCTCCCAAGCAAGTAGTGCTTCCAGTGGTCTAAGGCTTGCCTGAGAGCGTAGAGTTCCCTCTCGTAAGTAGATGTCGCGACTTTCTCTGAAGGCATTCTAGCGGACATGAACTCTACGGGTCTATACCCATTGCCATCGTCTTGCTGTAACACTGCGCCTATGCCGTACTGGCTAGCATCCGTAGTAACGACAAAAGGYAAGGACGGATCGGCGACCTTAAGGAACGGGTACTCTATCAACGCCTGCTTTAGCTTCTTCATGGCAGACGTGCAGTCCTTGTCCCACTTCCAGATTGTCTCTTTTCTTAGCAATCTGCGAAGGGGCACAACGATGGTGGAGAAGTTCCTCACGAACTTCCTGTAGTAATTTGCTAAGCCCAGGAACGAGCGCAACTCTGTCAGCGTACGTGGCGTGGGYCAATCTCTAATCGCTGCGATCTTGCTATCTTCTCGCTTAACGTCGTCTCCGTCTAAGACGTGATCTAGATACAAAACTTGGGTCTTCGCCCAATCGCACTTCTTCGCATTCATCTTGAGGTTAGCTTCTCTCAGCTTCTCCAAGACCTGCCTAAGATGACCCTGATGCTTGTCGAGGGTCTTACTAAACACTAGAATGTCATCTAGGTACACTACAACAAATCTATCTAACCATGGCCTAAACAAATCGTTCATACAACGCTGGAACGTAGTTGTCACATTGGTTAGTCCAAAGGGCATCACTATAAACTCATAGTGCCCGTACCTAGTCCGGAAGGCTGTCTTATACTGATCATCAGGATATACCTCTATCTGATGGTATCCGGACTTTAAGTCTATCTTAGAGAAGTACTTGGCCCCTTGCACTCGATCTAAGAGATTATCTATCCTAGGCAGTGGCTCAGCATTCTTTACTATAATAGCATTCAGACCCCTATACTCTATACACATCCTCAGCTCTCCCTCTTTCTTAGGGACAAAGAGAACAGGGGCTCCAAAAGGAGACGAACTGGGCCTAATCCAACCCTTTTCGAGGAGCTCGTCCAATTGCTTTCGGAGCTCCTCTAACTCCCGCGGGGACATCGTATATACAGCACCCTTAGGAGTTCTACTGCCAGACTCTATCTCAATACGGTGTTGGATGGGCCGCGGCACCGTGCCTGTCGGCGGCTTAGTTAAATCCTTAAACTCTTCCAGCAATTTGGGAACAGTAGGGTCTAGGGCTTCTCTTCCTTAGGCTCAGTCACTGGCCTAATATAGGCGACAAAGACCTGTTCCTCCAATTTCTCCTTCTTCACCAATCTGGCGAATGCGGGCGCGCTTAGGCAACAATGTGTCAAGGAATTCTCTACCCCTGACACATGGAACAGGCGGGCAGTCTTAGCCTCGCCTGAAGAACTAGGGAGCCTACACTCGTGCTCCTTCAAATGGAGCGTGGCCCCTGCTGCCTCTCCCCAATCCATTCCCAGAACAATGTTGAATGGGAGGCTGTCTTCTTCGAGGAGAGTCAGGGAGTGGAGGACCTTCTCCACTTTCCCATCCTTCTCTAGGTGGAAATACGCCTAGACTCCCTCTACATACTCCTCTACAACCATAGTATGATTGTCTGCGAGGATACTAACTATGGGATCTGCTAGCTTTTGGACTTTAAGCCCCAGCTTCAACTTCTGCAGCGCCTTCCTACTAATATAGCTGCGGGTAGCCCCTGAATCTACTAGGGCCCCTACTCTACCTCTAAAAATCTCTACATCTACCAGAATTAGGTGTTCTTTCTGTTTTTTTTTCATCTTGGCCCAGGCGGGCATCCTCTCCTTCAATTCTTCGGCCACGCCTGTGAGGGAGGTGTCTAAAGAGAC